TATATATATATATATATATATATATATACGTCTATTTGACCTAAAAAGAGCACAAAAGATTCGCATTTCAATATACATATGTAATGAATATACGCACAAACACAAATACATACATCTTTCTACTGTTTCTATTGTTATTCAATATTATCTTTTTCCATGTTCTCTTCAGTAAGTAAGTTTTGTGTCTTTTGCATTTATTTCATTTTTTTTTTTTTTTGTCCTTTTCATCTCGCCTCCGGTTGCCATTATACCGGGTTCAATTCCAACCCATTCTTTGTATCTTATCTGCCGAACAATATCTACAACATATATAAAATCCCTCACTCTCTATCTTTCTTTCTCTTTTTCTCTCTGTCATTCTCTGTCTCAATGATATATACAATTTCTTCTCTTAAATTTTTTTTTGTGTATGTTGCGCATCTATATATCAATAGATCTGATTTATTTTGCAGTCTACATATCGAACGATTCATCTAACTTCCGCTGTTTATATCTATCCAAAGGACATATTTTAGAAGACGCCCATCTTTATATCTATAACCTGAAAGACATTTATTCATACTTAGATAACTATATAATCGTAAAGCTTTCATATACAGATATGATGCATATATTAAAGAACACATTCCGTGAGTTCATGCGCATGCGTGTACCTTGCTAACAAAATGCATAGTTAAATCTTCTTCTTTGTCCTATATCACTTCAGGAAGTTGGTGACCATGGCTCTCCACAGTATCCTGTCCTTTGTAGCTCTTAATAAGTTTTGTCTTTTTACTATCTAACCTAATCTTTTTTCTAACGTCCATTTAAACAATACCGTTAGGTCGGTTATGTTCTGTTATCGCTTTCCTCAACCGCCTCTTAATTTCAAAATGGCCTCTGAGTCTCGAATTTTCCAAACTCTCTTTCTTCCTAGAAATTTGAGCTGTCTCTTTCTGAGGTTTACCATAAAGTCTTTTGTTTTTGTTTCTTTGTTTCCATTTTCTCTAATTCTTCGTCATTGCTTTTGTGTTCAGTCCATGGTATTTTCCTGTATTTTTCCGGAGAACCACATTTCTCTTGCTCCAAGCGTATTCTTCATCTGCGAGGAGTCTAGCAGTCACTGCCATGTAGGTGAACTGACATTACGTAACATTTCAGTAAGCTTTTCTTTATCGGTAACGATCATTCTAATAACCTTTCCAATTATATTAAGCTTATCTAACAGTTTTAACAGTCTCAAAACAAATGATGGACTATTAGACGTCTGAATTTAAACAAAAGAGATCTAGTATGTCAAGGTTGAAATTTCTCCAGACCCCGCCAGCAACATTACCTTGTAACTTTGCATATACACAGCCTGTAATATAGCATTAATATCAAAAAGACAATAAATTTTAGGAAGATATCAGAACGTGTATTCGCCATCTGAATTAATGATTCTCAATTATTTTTTAAATACGAAACGATATGTTATACACACACACACACACACACACACATATATATATATATATATATATATATATATATATATATATATATATTATAATATTTTTTGTTTAAAATATGATTCCTTCGCAACATAAGAGTTCTCATGTTTCAAAAACGAGAGCCGAAACCATCCAAATAATTATTAAAATTAAGTTGAATTGAGGTGTTTAGTCTCGTTTCATCTTCATGCGAAATTTTAGGAATAAGCTATCTCTTGGTTTACGTGTGTTTTTAGGCATGGTCCGTCATAACATTCGTTATTGTGGGGGTGGCTATGCTAGTTTTCTTCGTTAAGTGTCCGGAGAGTTAACTCTTATCTATAGATTCATCATCTTCTGAGAGGTTTTGCTAAGGTTGGGTAGTGTATCTATTTCAAGGCTAATGTTGGTGGTCATCCTCTAGTTACTTCCCAATGAGGGATATTTTTATGGCGCGCCTACAAGTCGTTAGGTGTCGGGAGGATTGTTTTTTTATTATTGTCCATCTGATTATCTATTTATTTATTTGTTTATTCAAGTGGGTGTTTTATATACAAACCGTATTACACTGAATTTCAATTTGTTTTTTGACGACTACAGAAAGGGTTTTTCCTATTTAATGATTTAAATATTATAATATAAGCTCTACTTCTGTATGGAGCACTGTCTTCTTAAAAATAAAAACAAAAAATACTAAGGAACTCCGGATTATGCACCCAACGTGTTCTTTTCTATTTTCTGCATACCTGCGCACTCATATATATATATATATATATATATATATATATAGAGAGAGAGAGAGAGAGAGAGAGAGAAGGTAATGAAGGGTTTGGTAAACCGTGTGGATAATCCGTGAGGATGAAATCCAGAGAACTCAATGTAACACCAGAGCTAATATTAATTAAATAATTAAGTAAGAGACAACTTTAAGATTCCATGACGATGATTTCTTTTCCCAGAAAATATATTTTTCCTGGTTCATCACGTCACATCTCTAGTTACAAAGGAATCTGGTTTCTTTTGTTTTTAATAAAAGTTTTTGAGGGATAGTTTTTGAGGGATAGTTTTAAATTGATATAAGGCGACAGAGGTGGTAGGAGGGGGGGCTATAGAATGATCCATATTGGAAATGGAAAGTAGGGCGTAGATTGCTTTGAAACCATCTTTAATGATTTACGTAGGTTCAAGTGTACTCAGTTAAGAAGCCAGACAATTTGACCTCTTAAATAATTTTTAGACAGAAAAAAAGAAAAAAAAAGAAGGTAAATTTAAAGTAGGGGCGGGGGAAAAGAGGAAAAAAGGAGGAAAACAGGGGAGGGAAGAGGAAGAAGGAATAATGAATTATCATATGTAGGCATATCATGGTGACACGTGAAAAACACATCAATATAATTTATAGTTAATACATAAAGTATGAAAGATTACCAAATTCATTTTTATACTCTTCTTTTTATAATTATTAATTTTTTTTTAAATAATCTTTAATATACCCCTTTCCATTTCTAACATAGACCATTCTATAGTCCTCCCTCTCCCCCACCTCTGACACCTTATATCAATCTAAAACTATCCCTCAAAAACGTGTATTAAAAATAAAAGAAACCAAATTCCTTTGTAACTAGAGATGTGACCTGATGAACTAGGAAAAATATATTTTCTGGGGAAATAAATTATAGTCATGGAACCTTAAGGTTGTCTCTTTCTTATTTAATTAATATATATGATGGACTCTCCCGTCGATTTCGACGTATGAGGTTCCGACAACTTTTTAATGACCTTTATGTTTGAATCTAGAGTGAAATTTCAGACCTGCTAATGACTTGCAAAGAAAACCACAGATTGGGCAAGCGTGTGAGCAAAGAAGGTGCACTTCTCTGGCACCTTCTGTGGTTTTTTTCATTTCTCTTGCTTCACAGAGCTTGACAACGCTTGCCGCCGAAAAATTCCTGATTCCAGTGTAAGTTACACTTTTCCAAGCTTTGCGATCCAAGGCAGTATTCTCCAAATCAGTGTGTGCAATAATTGCAGCTGCAAGGTTACTTTTCAGCTTATCTTTAAACCTGAGCAAGGGTCGGCCAACATTCCGTTGACCACCTTCAAGCTGGCTGTACATGAGAATATATATATATATATATATATATATATATATATATATATTAAGAAATGGACAAGGTCCGACAATTTATTTATTAAAAGACATTTTTTTACGTTTTAACGTTGTTTAAGCAAATTTTATAAACAGATACAAGTATTTAAGCAAATGTCTGAAAATTTATGATATTCAGTATTAAATAACATTTAATACTGTTTATCATAAAAAGAGCATTTGCATAAATAATTGTTCTATAAAATAACAACGTTAAAACATAAAAAAAAAATGTCTTTAATATATATATATATATATATATATATATATATATATATATTAACTGAATAAAAATATTCTGATATTATTTGGCCAGTGTGGAATTTTCCAGCTACAGAACCTTGTGACGTTAGCATAATGTTGTGTCAACGTTGGGGATGAACGTTACATCCCCCCGGACCAAAATATGAGTCGTCTGTAACGTTTCAGGAACGTTCCGTGTGAGCTGCGTATGTGCCGCCTAATGTTAAGCTGTTACATTTGGTCTGGAACGCTGAGGTTTGATGGTATTGATTGGCATAATGACCCAGAAAGAGAATGGAAGTGTCTCAGAAGTATAAGAGTGAGGGAAGATATGAAAATGGGAACCTAGAATGGAGAGATGCGAGAAAAACAGAAGTGTTTTGTTATGCGAAAAAAAAAACTTGTAAAAAATAACATCTTAAAACCTTCATATTACAGAATTCCATATAAGCATGAAATATGCAGGTTAGTTTTCCACGTAATATTCCCCTAAGAATGGCAATTGTAAGATTATTCTTGAATATAGTAATGGTAATTTTCGACCTAAGAATGTTAATATTAATCGTAATATTCCCAAAAGAATGGTGATGTTAATGCTAATATTCTACCCAAGAATGGCAATGGCAATATTACCAAAAAGAATGGTAATGGTAATATTCCGCCTAAGAGGTAATATTCCCTCTAGGACTGTTAATGGTAATATTATCCGTTTCTTTATATTGGGGAGAAGAGCTAAGAAAATGTTGCATTGAGAAAACTGAACGATGTCAAAAGAAGGATTGAATGCTGAACAAAAAAAATAAAATAAAGAAGAATGGTGTGAAAATAATGGACAGGAGAATAAATGGATTTGGAAAGAGAGAGTGAGTAATGAGTTATGTATAAAATCGGAAACGTCTGAAATAGGAAATGTTTGAAAATTCAATGATCAAAAAATATAAAAAAGAGAAAATAATAATAATAATAATAATAATAATAATAATAATAATAGTAATAATGTTATTATTATTAGTAGTAGTAGTATGATTATTAGAAATAATGACATAGATAGATAAACAAATGAAATAAAGAAATGGATAAAGAAAGAAAGTTGAGCAAAAGAAAGAACGAAAGAAAGAAGGGAAGAAAAACATAGTATCTATGTTTTTCTTCACTTCCCTTCAAACGGAAGAAAGAAAGCAAGAAATAGAAAAACAAAAGAAAGAAAGAATGAAAGAGATAGATTCAAGAAAGAAAGAGAAAAAAAAGAAAAATATATAAACAAAAGAAAGAAAAAAGAAAGAAAGAATGAATGAAGATGAAAGAAAGAAATAGATTAGCAAAATGAACGAAAAAATATCTGTATAAAAAAAGAAAAAGTATGTAAAAAAAGAATGAAAGAAAAAAGGTGAATAAAGGATAAACGGAAAGAAAGAAATAAAAGAAAGAACAAGAAAAGAGAGATTACAAAACACATTGTAAAGTGTGAAAGACAGAAAAATGGAAATGAGAAAAATAGAAAAGAGTGAATGGATGAGACTAAAATGTGACAATCTAATGAAGAAATAATTATAGGAAATATTGCAGAAAAAATGAAAAAAACAAGGTTAAGAAGAAAAAAATGGAAATAACAAAAAATAATGAGAGGACAAATGGAAAAGAGAGAGAGAGAAAAATCAAGGAATAGACAAAAATAAAATGAAAAGAAAGTAGATGAAAAAGGAAAAAAAAAGAGACGAAATGAAAGAAAAAAGATAACGTTGAAAGACAGAAAGAAAGAAGTGCAGTATATTTAAAGCTTAGAAAATTATTCGTGAAAAACGAAGAAAGAAAAAAAAGAAGAAATATTAAAAAAAAAAAAAGAAAAAAAAAAGAAATTAGTTTGTTTTTCCAAAAATGAAGAGTAATTGCTTTTTCTATAATGACTGCTCCAAAAGCAAAACAAACAAACTAGTAAGCTGGGTAAAAAAAAAAGTAAGAAAACTTAGCCGGCAGCTAAGGTGCAATAAAATGCAAGTATAGTCTTACACTTGGTTTTAATATTGGTAAGATTAATAAATGGACAGCCTGCTGGCCTTTTATACTAGCTCATTTTCCTACATTTATACAGGCTAGCTTGTCTATTCAACAATTCTGAAATACGCAGTATTTTTTAAAACTTCGTAAGAGATTAAGACGCACCCATGTATCTATACTCATATATATATATATATATATATATATATATATGTGTGTGTGTGTGTGTGCGCGCGCGTGTGTGTGTGCGTGTAAATGCGTGTTTGTACATGTGCATTGGTGTGTGTGTATGTGCATCTTTGTGTGTGTGTGTGTTTTTTGATTCTGAAGGTTTCCTATGCAAATACGAAAAAAATGTCGCTCTAATTTGAAGGATTGAATATGAAAAAAAAGAAAATAGATAAAACATGGTAGATAAATTGGGTATAATTTACTTTTAGATAAATTAGATGGATTTGGCAGAGAAGAAGAAGAAGAAGAAGTAGAAGAAGAAGAAGAAGAAGAAGAAGAAGAAGAAGAAGAAGAAGAATGCAAGTAGGAAGGAAAGAGAAGATAGATAAATAGATACATAGAAGGTAGAGGGGTAAAGAGCAGATAGATAGATAGATAGATAGATAGATAGATAGATAGATAGATTTAAGGAAGGAAGTAGGAAGAAATAGAAGAGATAGATAGATTTAAGGAAGGAAGTAGGAAGAGATAGATAGATAGATAGATAGATAGATAGATAGATAGATAGATAGATAGATAGATAGATAGAATTAAGGCAGGAGGTAGGAAGTAATAGATAGATAGATAGATAGATAGATAGATAGATAGATAGATAGATAGATAGATAGAAGAAATACTGTGCGAAAATATTCACTCAACAGAAAAAGTGTATAAACAAAGGAAATTGTGCCTAATTTGGTAGTGCTGCATTTTTGGGTGGATGTCGGCCGGATGCTGAACAAAAAAATTTCCCAGAATGCAGCTGCAAATTGCATGAAATTCCAGTATTTAATTTATCGTTTCTTTCGGTGCATGGCAGAAACGGCAAGTCTTCGTCGGCTTGGTTTACTTGTTTGTTTCTTGTTATTATTCGTTTAGGAATGTCGGTATTGAGCTCGGAGAGAATTCTCAACTTATCTCCCGGTCCGTCTATGCTCACATGAAATCTCGCAAAAAAAATGAATACATTGGCCGGTAATCACGTTGGCATTCGCATACGGAACGCAATAGACGGGTCTATGTAGAGAGATATGTAGCAACCTTGATGGATACAAGGTGGCGCTGTTAAATTCTTGGCTTAGCGATATACGCCGTTGAATCACTATTTTAACACTTCTTCGGTGCTTACATGCTTCGTCCATTGTATTCTAAGCATCCTTCTGTAGAACCCTATTTCTGCTGCCTAAAGTCTCTTCTTCATCTGCAATGAAATTGTCCAGCGTCCACTGCCATCTAAGAGGATTGATATTACATTGTAGTTCAGTATTCGTTTGAATGTTTCTATTGAAGGTTAAAAACGAGATAATGAAATTCTGCCTAAGAAACTACGAGAAAAAGAATGCAAACACCATCAGGCAATCAGCTTAATGAGCCATATAACGAAATAAATAGAGCGCGAAGCAGAATCATACCAGAAATAGGACAAGAACAGTACGGGTTACTCAAAAACACTGGAACAAGAAATGTGATATTTATGCTCAGAATGTTATCAGAAAGAAGAATACAAGTGCAGAAAGACGTGTATCTGTGTTTTATAGATTAGGCAATGGCGTTCGAGAAAGTACGCCACAAAGATCTGTTGGAGCAACTCAGCAACCATGATATGTTTGAAAAGGCATAATGAAGAACCTACACTGGCAGCAAACCGCCTGAATGCAGATAGAAAACAAGTTCAATAGATATACAAAAATTGAAAGGGGTGTAAGACAAGGATGTGTCTTCGCAACGTACTTATTCAACCTATCCAGCGAGTCAATTCTGAGATTCCTATCAGGATTCATTATTGGCGGCCAAAAACCTTAACACAAGGCATGCTGATGACATCGTGTTTGGTAGTAGTCACAGAAAGAAAGCTACAAAAACGCATACAATATTTAGTGAAGGAAAGCGAGAAGAAAGGCTTAAACATCAACTGGAAGAAAACAGAATTCATGGTTGATGTTGATAAAAAGAATGAGCCCAAAGTGCTAATTGCAAATCAGAAATACCAAACTCAAACAAGCGCGAAAATATAAATATCTAGGAAGTGTTTTAACAAAGGACGGAAACGGAAATCCGAAGGTGTATTGGGATAGCCAGGGAAGCATTCCTAAAGCTAAACAGAGTACTAAGAAATAACAAAATTTCGCTAGAAACAAGGAAAAGAGTATTAAACTGTTACATGATAGCTGTCCTCCTGTATGTCAGTGAGTGCTGAACAATCTCTTCAAGGAGACTTCAAGCAACAGAAATGTGGTTCCCCAGAAGGATGTCGAGGGTAATATGGACAGAACACGGGAGCAACGACGAAGTTTTGGAGAAACAAAAAGGAAACTAATAATCATCAAAAGGCGACCGTTGGAGGGCTAGGAAAATCTGATATTCACAGGACAGATAGAGGGCAAGAGGGACAGAGGAAAACAACGCATAGCATATTGATCTTGGCTAAATGGTTGGCGGAACACGGCTTAGAAGAAACAGCAGAAAGACAAAAACATTTTAATAGCTACAAGGGACAGGAAGTTGTGAAGATCCAGGATCGCCTGCGTCTTAAATGGACACAACGCATAACGACAAAGAATTCGTATCTCACCTCTATCTACTTTTCTTGCGGGCAATCATATATTCTACCTTACAATTGACGATCAATCCTTGCTTTCTGCTTTTATGTACCTTTTCTTGGAACTTCAGTAATTTTCTTTCTTTTAACTGTCATTATCATGATCTCATCTTGATGGACTAGTTATTAAAATGCATAAAGACGCATATTTCTCCAAATCTAAAGGCTTACAAAATTAGTATTGTGAAGCATGTTAATCGCAGTTTGGCAAGTACTGAATGAAAGCTATGCTAAAGTATATATTTTAATTAATTATCTAATTTTAAATATTTTTTATCTGGCCTTAAATTCAGAAATTACTCATTCCATGATCTTTTATTTTGAACACTTCCATAACTAAATCTTGCTTAAATTTTACCCCCGGTTATTGATCGTGCTCCGGTGACAATATGGCCGACGTCAATCCAACAGCTGCACGACATCTTTCCTTTCATTTTGCCGCCAATTGTGCAATGTCATGAAAAACTAATCTTTTCCTACAAAGCTGTCTCTCTCGCGATTTTTTTTTTTAATAAAGTGTAAAAATGTTTGGCTTCAGCAAAGAAAGAATGAAAATAATACAATTGCAACATCGCCATTGATTTTCTCAATCTATAATTACAGATACGATTTTATACAAAAATATCCTGTCGAATTTGATGCGATTAGGTGCCGACGTTTCGACTTCAGATCCTTTTTTTTTTTAAAAAAAAAGATTGTTGATTAATGAGTTGCTTGTTTAATGGCATGTTATGAATAATCAAGCGTGGTCTCCCCTTGTTTCGATACTCTCCGGTTTGGCAAAGCTATTTCTGTTTACTGGGACTATAAAAGGACACTAAACGCGAACCTTGTATTCTCAGTTGAATAAAGCTTTCTTAAAGCATACATCTGCGTACTTTTGTCATTACACGGTATATCGACTCTTTATGCCTTTATGTAATGCCTCGTTGTAAGTATCCCAATAAACTACATCCGAATGCAAGGTCCCTAAGCGGGAGGTTTTGAGGAGCGTAGAACAACCTCTTAACTGTGGTTGTTTCCAGGTCCACCTAACCCGGGATGTATCACCTGTTAGGGTCCCAGTTATGGGCAGATAGTGATCCCACAAACTGGGGTTAAAACATTATGAAACTACAAAAATACATTTTTATAGTAAAACAACAGTGATACATTTTCATAGTAAAAATATTACCAGCAATAAAAATTTCCAGAGAAAAAAAATTAGCAGCAATATAAGCTGCGATGAATAAATTGTCGTATGAATTACGCACAAATTAAAATAACACTGACATCTCATTTTAACAGATATATTTACCAAAATTACACAAAAATATGTTAAAATACTAAAGAGTAATTTTTTTTTAAATCAGCATTGGCTTCAACCACGGTCTCTAGACGACTTCAGAAGCTCCTGCAACTATTCTGGACAGTCTCCTTGTTTAAGTTAGTGAATGCTGCCATAATCCTTGCCTTCAGTTGATCTCTGGTTTTACAAGGAGTTGTTTTGCTCTCTCTCTCTCTCTCTCTCTCTCTCTCTCTGCATCCCACACATAATAATCAAGGGTGTTGCAGTCTGGAGAGTTAGGTGGTCAGATGTAAGGAGTGATGTGATAACAGATATTGTCTGACCGGCAGGACGGGGTTCGTCTGCTGGTATGGCTTGTTGTAAAATCTTGTTGTCAGATATAGGGTCTTCCTCAAGGCACTTGATGTTGGCGTCCGTGTTGAGTCTGAGGGCCTCACCAACAAATTCAGGAGTTCTTTTTGTATCAAAACGATCAGAGTGAGTTTTCCGAGCTGCCGTACATTCGTAATCACCATTAAACTCATCCAATTCTTTCCGAATCCTCTGCACTGTCCTCAGATTGACACTCAAACACTCAGAAATATTCGTATTGGGACTTCTGGCGAGAATGTCAAATAGTACAGTATGCCGTTTCCAAATGTCTCACAAGGGGTTGATATGCTGTTAAAACAAACCAATCCAAACCAATCATTTAATATCGAAATTTAATTTTCTTGTGAGCTTTGAAGTAATAAAAATATGATATACGTTATTCTGCTTTCACAATTGAATACATGGTAGATAATACTCAGCTTCTGTGCATATACATGTTAGTCTGGACATGATTACTAGAGGCGGTGATATGTGTAATTTATGTTGTAGTTTTTTTTAAGTCTTAATTTGAAATAAAATTTGATTTTTTTTTAAATTATAGAATATTATATGGATTAATATAATGAAAGAGTTATTTCATGTTAATGCGTATGCTTCCCTTTCTTTCTTGGTAATCCTTCAATGTATGTAGTATTTACAAAACCTGAATAGGAAATTACTTATATTAATAAATAATACTTATAACCTTTGGGGAATACAGTGAACTTTTGTTAATAGGAAGTTTGAAACCCAACTTCATTTTTAAACTACTTTCTTTCAGAATTAATAACATGTTTTAATCTTTGTTTAAATATTTTTCCCAAATTTCGATACAGGTGTGTATCGAAATTTGGTTCAAGGAGGCATCTATGAAGCATTTGTGAAACTTCTAGCTGAACATTTTTTTTTTTTTTTTGTGAGGGGGGAGGTCACTATTTGCAGATAACTGCGACCCTAACAG